TTACAAAGGTTAACCTAGACTATAATGTCAATATTAATGCCTAGCCTAGAAACACGGGCATTACAAATTCTTTTGTAAATTAAAAGAATTGTGTAACTAATTTCTTCACTAAACGTACCGGATGTATTCGCTTATTTTAAAATGTTACAATAGAAACTTAAAAGAAGTCGGGATATACCATTATCAATTTGTGTCAACCAAACTTGTATAGTTGGCACGGTACATGGTTTAAGGAAAAACGAATTGGTACCGTACCAATCTCACCCCTAACTATAAGGAATGGTCTACAAGATACTTACTCAAAAACTACGCCACCTCAGCGTCACATCAACTTCATTATATTCTTACTAATACCTACTCTACTTAGGAAATACCCACCACTCCACATTTCTATTTTTTTAAATAGTCAATTTTAACAAAAATACAAGATTTTTAAATGAAAATGAAAATTCCATTAAACCAAATTAAAAGTAAATTACTAAAAGTGAAAATAAAAATTGCACTAAAAAAAACTTAAAAAAACATAAAACTAAAAAAAACGTTACGCTTAAATTAAAAATTACATTAAAACCTAAAAACGATTAAAAAAACATTACGCTAAATTAAAAATTACATTAAAACCTAAAAAAATGGAAACCTACTCGTCCTAAGTGTCTTGGTTATGTTGCCTTGTGTAAATGTGCTCTGTCAAATCTTGGCGAAGATTGTTATGCGTTTCTAAATTTTTTATTTCCAAAATTCTTATGTAGTATTATGGACTACCAACTTGCATTATTCAGGTGGATGAAGTACGCCATTCGGGTTATACATATAGATAGTCCGACCCTTATCTTCGATTACCATATTATGCAAAATGACACGAGCAATCAATACATTATTTATTTTCCCCCTATCATGTGCTCGTATCGGGTGGTTTATGTAGTACCATTTCTTTTTGAGCACACAAAAAGCACATTCAACATCCTTCCTTGCCAATTCTTGTACTACTTTGAACAATTTTCTTTTTTCATCTTGTGGATATGTGTATGATTGGACAAAAGTAGCATACTCCGAATATGTATCCCATCTCCAAGGTAATACCCAAACTTGTATTCATTTCTATTCACAACATATAGAAAATTAGGTGTTTTATCCTGCAGAATGTCATTGAATATCAGCGACACACCTAGTACATTCAGGTAATTATTTAACCCTGCCATGCCAAAGAAAGCATGCCAAAACCATAGATCGTTTGACACTACTGCTTCTAGCATTATAGTCGGCACTCCATGATCACCCCTTTTCGGACAATTTTCCCACTCAAAATGTGTACAATCAATGTTACCGAGCATTCCTCTAAAACCGTGTTTACTTTCATGTGCAACATACAACTGTTCAACGTCACTTCTCGTACGTTTCCACAAATATGTTTCACGGTATAGGTCTATAAGACACTCACAAAATTTGTATACACATTCTCGAACGGTTTTTTAGACATCTTCAAATACTCATCTTGTGCATCGGTGATGTTGTCATATGCCAAAATCTTAATTGTTGCAGTACACTTTTGAATAGGACTAAAACCTAGTCTACCTTTAGCATCGTATCTCCATTAAAAGTATTCGTAATTAGCTTCTAAATCATTCGTTATACGCGTGAATAAACGTTTACTAATACGAAAATGACGTTTGAATTGAGTATTGTCATATAGGCAATCATCGGTAAAGTAACCACATACCAAAAATGTGTGTGCAGCCTCACGATATATGTTGATTGAATTTCTAGTCCTCTTGATGGTGTTTGAACTTTCGCATTCTTGACCCATCAACGCAACGACCGCTTCCATCAACAAGTGAAAATACATATCATCGTCATCAGATGAAGATGACAAATTGTTCATTATTTTTTGATGTTTAGTGAACGAATAATTTTAGTATATGGAGATAGAGTGAATGTTTTGTGGTGTGTGATTTAAATGGTATAAATAGTATTTATAGAGAAAAATATGGTAGTTATTTATTTATTTTTTTGAAAAACTACCAAAGTGTCATGTGACTGTTTTTTTTATTTCTCTCTCCCTTGTAGTATTGAAGCTTAGTAGTAGCATTCAGGAGGCATTACAATCAATATGCATGGGGGTGGTATTTCAAATAAAGTCATGCATGACTTTTGTAGACACATCACCATACACGTAAGGAATGTCTTTACATTTCATATAACCTAAATGTGATTTTGGAACCCTAACCTGGCGTTCGGGTATAAAGTGTCATTTTACAAATTAAAAGAAAAATAGTGATAGAAATAAAAAGTACATGGACTAAATAGTGAAAAGAAAAATTAAACCACCGATTTTCCTAGTATAGATATAATTTGGGAATGCCCCTGATCACATTCACGGGTAGTTTGGCCCATTATAATTTTTCAAAGGAATTAGCTGAAAGAAATTCCAGTGAGTTTATTATTTTATAATATTGACTTTTTAGTCGAATGTGTCGAACAAAAGTACATGTTATCTACTTATCTTATATGAATAACCATTTATTTTAACTTTGTAGGCTATTACGACATAATATTGTATTTAAACCAATGGCAATTTGGAATCTCGACCATATCTTCAAATCCTAAACATTGTCATATGTCAACGAATTCCTAAACGTGGTTTTTATTTATTAACAGTACATTAAATTTATCTTAATTGATTAGACAAAAGGAATATATATGAAATCGATAAATTTTGAAAGATATACAATGAAGATCATTCACACACGATTCTTAAAGCTTCATTCAACCAATAATATAACATCACATTTTATTTATTTTATTATATGATTTCATACATCATACATACATAACAGTGAGATATATCATACATATATAATATTTAGATATATCATACATCATACATGCATGTACAATATTAAGATACACGATATTTAATAAAAGGCGCATTTTAATAATAATACACCTATAGATCAGTTGATCTACGATTTGCTCAAGAACAAGCACGGATGACATGCCCAACGAGTATTCCTTCATCGCAACCAAGTATAACCCTATTATATAAAAATAATTGTAAGTTTTATAATCATATCAATCGAAGGTCAAATGTAAAATTCAAGAGACTTGCTGGGATGAGTCTTTTATGAATCCAATGGTCCAAACTCTGCCAAGTTCGGAGGCAAACACTTGGTCTAACTTGTAAGTTGCCACATTCCATGCGTGTACAGTTTTGTCTTCAGATCCGGTGATGATTAAATTAAAGTCCATGTTCACATGTAGTATAGACGTAATATTGTTTGTGTGTCCCTCAAGAGTTTGAATACAAACCTCAGGGTCTTAGTCCCAAACCTAATTAATGTTCATGTATTAGTATAAGGTTGGTTTGCTTTTGATCAAATAAAAATATAAAAATTACATAGACATACCTTGGCAGTATAATCATCAGATCCTGTGACAAAGTGAAGCTTTTCATCAGTTTCAAAAAATTCAATAGAATTCAAACCTTTTGAATGACCTACAATCGACAAATGTGAACTTGATGATCCAAGATTCCACATCTTGAAAGACAAACATATATATAAAAGAATTAGAATCATATTATCTAATCATGAATATGTAGTTACTTGTACGCATTAGCACGTTGTACAATGAAAGTTAATATTATGTACCTTAATGGTACAATCAAGTGATGCACTTGTGAATACATTCACATCCCTCGGGCTAAATGCTATTTGCATGACATAATGTTCATGTCCCTGAAATGTTTTAGTGCATTCCCAACCATTCTCCCAATCCCATAGCTTTATGAGCTTGTCATCAGATGCAGAAAGTATGTATGGAAGAGATGGATGCATAACCACAGACCTAATGAAGTCTGTGTGTGCCTTTAGCTCCACGACACTTTCCATATTGTTATAATTATACACACGAAGAAACCCATCATCGGATCCAACAACAATCCATTCTTTGTGCGCAATAAATTTTGCAGTTCGTACTACAAAACATAAATAAACTACAAGTAAGCATAACTAGATTTCACAACATACAAGTCTATAACTTTAGTAAGGACTTGTAAAAAATCCACCAAATAATCCACAATCAACAATAGATAGTAAATCAAAGTGTCATTCGAGTAATATTCTTAAGCTTGAACATGAGACATCGCGTACGTAGTTATTACATTCTAAATGTTAGGACAAACATGTAAAGTCCATTTAAGGCTGTGTCGAAAAACAATTCACGTACCTGGCGATTTGCCGGTTTCAAAAGTCTTCTCTGTTACCTGCAAAGAAGATGCTAACCATGAATAAATATTTGGATATATGTATATGTTTTATTTTTGTTGGGATCATAATCCCATATTATAAAGATAATCCAAATAACAAGTACATAAATTGATAATGGCTTACTTGAGAGTGAGAGTTCCAAATAGAAACATTTCCAGAGTACAAACCTAACAAGACCCTTTAGATAGAAAAAATGTAATTTAATTGTTAAGTATGTTTAACATACGCAAGAAATAAGAAAACAAATACATGGGAAATTAAAAATAGAAAAATTCATTACCATGGTTCGGTTGGATGCAAGTCAATCGATTTAACTCTCTCAGATTTTTGAATGAAAATTTTCTGAAATCAAATAAAAAAGTTACAAAAACAAGATTAATTAATAGTATGTTCAAGGAAATTAAGTAATCTAACCACATTTCAATGTGTTGAAAAAAATAACCAAAAAAATTAGTTTTTAACAAAAATAACCACTTGGTCTAGAATAAGCATTCCGGACTAAGAAAAAACATTTTTTTTGAAAATACATTTTAGACTGACATTCCGGAATTTAGGACTGACATTCCGGATTCCGGACCAACATTTTGGATTTCAAATAAAAAAAAAAAAAAAAAAAAAAAAAAAAAAAA